CTCATCAACAGCTATCTGCCCTTATGTCCACAGTAGTTAACACACATTAAGTTCCATTGCTCCCTAATAAGAAAGCTGCAGATTGACCCGGGACACAGCTACTTGAAGAATACAAGGAGAACTTTGATGGATTGAGCGAAGGACCTTTGTCGGGAATTTACTGTAGTAAAGTTCAGGCCTTAAAATATCTTTTACATGGCCGTCTGACAAAATTTCCGACGACTTTGCATTTGGGTCGGACACTGCCTCTTCCCCAGGCCAGGCGCTAATAAAAAAATTTGATGCGAGTCACTATATGAAAGGTTTACATGAAGTAGTGTGTTGTGACGAACAAGCGTAGGGGTTTATGGGCTTGAGGCAGCGAAAATTGAGAAGCTCCTGGGGCATCTTCTGCTGTTTCTTGCAAAATTCGTCCGTTTCTTGCAAATCGTGGTTTTTCAACAGTTGTGGCACTTTTTTCGCCTTTGTTTGGAGAAAATAACGTTTCAATTGTTCAATTAAACATGTGATTACAGTCAGCTGATATTTGATATAATTTGACCCTTTGAATGATTCCCAGATATCAACACTTGAAGAGGTCAACGAGGCTGTAACGGTTTATATAATAACTTTACAAGGTATGGAAAAATGACAATGGTCCTTATCACAATGAGGAATTTATTTTAAAAATTTACAGCTACGGGAAGTTTTTTAATTAAACAAGGAAGCGAAACTTTATTTTGTATTGCATTCGCAAGATTGGTCTCATGATTTCAGTTACGAGCTTATTTACATAGAAGTATGTTTGATTTTCACGATGCAAACGATCGACAATATTTTAAATAATTTGGGTAAGGATAGCTTTATTTCTTTCTGGTGACATACATGAAGGCATACATGTATATTTAGATCTGCTGTTTACTTGTTTTATGAAATTATGTTCGACAGCTATTATACAAGATCGGCCAGGCGCTAACCAGAACGTTTGTATCCGATTCCCCTTTGCGCGCCTATAATGTGACACACTACTTCATGTAAACCTTTCATATAGTAACTTGTATGTGAAATAATTTTATAGTGCCTGGGGACGAAACAAGGTCGGACATATGTATGATGATGTCCGATGACCTTCAGGTCAGTTTGGCTCGGAAATAAGTCGGAATGACACAAATTAATATCAGCACAATGTATTAATTCTGAACTGAATGTTGTGAAAATATTAAATAATTTGTGTCATTCATACTTATTTCCAAGCCAGAATTAACTTGCTTGCCAATCATAGCAGTACGACTTCGACAACTTAAGCCCATTTTCCATTTCACCATTTTTATACAATACTCTGGTTCTCGATTTATAACATACAAGCCTCTAGTCCTGGACTAGGGTACATTTTGATTTACATGTGTGGAGAAAGCGTTGGACAAAGCTAGAGTTTGGTCGGACGCCAATACACTAGGGTTGGACAAGGAATAGACCTCAGTTCCACTTAGGTTGGACAGAATATCCGGTTGTTTCCTCTGTTCGTCGGACAATTTGACGAATGGGTCAGCCAATGTCTGTGACCGACTGATATTTTAAGGCCTGCAGTGAAGAAGAACTTCAACCAGTTTCAAGGGAAGACCCATCTTGAAACAATGAAGTTCTCCTTGTATTTTTTCAGATGCAGTAGTTGTATTCAGATGAACCCCCAGCTTTCTATTATTGGCACTACCTTTTCTGGCACAGATCATTTGATCAGATTGCTCCCTAATGCATATTAGTTTATTAGCACTCGTCTCTTTATTAGCACTTGTTAAACGCCCTGTCCAAAAGAACTGCTGAACATGATTTTGTGAGGGACTTTCATGGCTTCCTGGGAAGTGAATGTTACATGATATTTGCACCATATGCACACAGTGAGTAGAACCTGCTGTTGTTTGGATATACTGTACTTACTTTGAATAAAATAACAACTTGAACAAGAAGGCCAATATTTCCATGAACAATAAGGTATTGAAAATAGTTTAAATGATTTCACAATTTTGGATGAACAGGTTGTCTAAAAAGATATGTTTCTGTAATAGTATTGCCCATTGCTCTTCAGCATAGTGCGTTGTATATTGATAATTATTTCATTATATTGGTTACTTCATATTGCATTTTTAAAACTATAAATATGCCGAAAATATTGAAACTATTTTGGTATTATGCTATTGACATGCCCAACTGTATTAACCCAGTAAGTTGCATTAAATGCCAAGCTGCCCTAGTTTACTATTTCACTCTATCTAATGCCAGACAATTTTACTTGTTAAGGGGGATAGTGTTATCGTTCAATGGGTTAAATGTACCTAAATGCATGGCAGAGTGAATTGATATTAGTTTCGTTCATAAAACTACTTCTTTGATGATATGATATCAGCTGTAAATTGTACCGAATGCATTTGTAAATGTTGAAGCAACATGAAGTGTTGAATATTGAAGCAACATGAATCTAAATAAGTAAATATTGAAGCAACATGAAATATTGAGGCAACACGAACTGTTGTTACTGCGTCCACATACAATAGTGCCCAATCTCTTGGCCATAAATTAGTTTAAATTGAAATACTCCGGTAAAGATATATATTACATAGGTATTTTTGTTTCGTGATTGGTTTTCTAAACCATTGTAGTAGTCACAGGAAGAAAATTATATGCCAGAAAAAATTGATTTAAAGTTGCAAAACAAAATTATTTTTAATTTATTGTGCAGCAAGCTTAAACTACTCCCGGGGTTGAGAGACATGCGGGGACATTGATTAATTACGCTTTCCCCGGGGGCGGGGACAATTTCGCTCTTTTACTACCCCTCTAAGTCAAAATCCCCACCCCTCCCCGGTTGGGGGGGGGGGGTTACATTGACTGGTGCATAAGAAGGGTAGAATGAGTGTAAACGCTCACCGATCCCAATGCGCAGCCAATGCGATCCCAATGCGCACACCGCCTTCATTGACGCCATTAGGATTTGGGAAGCATCGTCTGGAAGACTTCAATTTGGTTCGACGAGTCTACAGTATCATTTTTTTAAAAAAATTCTTTGTGTTCAAGACTCTGGACTTTGTGTTCGAAGCGCCTGGCGAAGAAGCTGGTACGGATCCAAAATATCTTTGTAAGATGAAGTACTGCCTTTAAACTTTGAATGGCGAAATTCGCGAAAATTCGAAAATATAAATTGGACGATCCAACTCAATCGAACATGTTACAATGAGTTTTAAAAACTAAATTGGTATTAAAATAGGAAGAAGAGTGAAGCAAGGGACTTTCCATGCATAGAAATAACGATATTAATGGATATTTACGGCAAAACATGAATCGAAAGTTGGCTGAAATTGAATAAGTCAACCGACGCAACAAGCAAATAAAGCAATGTGGTCTGTGAGCAGTTCACTCGAGAATATCAAGTCATTTGAGGTCGTAAATAATTTCTCAACCACAGACTTCAAGTAGAAAACGTTAAGGTAGGAGGTTACTGCGAACTTTGTTTTGTATTTTTTGTTACAAAGAGCTTAAGAGCTCAACAAAAATGTGTGTAGGAATGGCAGTGATACCATGTGAGTTTTGGCCTGCTGGCACACTATTACATAAAGGCATTATAAATTAGCTCTGCTCAAGACGAAAAGTACGGCTAGAAGTTTTCCTAGTGCGTAGCTGCCTGACCACTGGCCTCTATTCTCTAAGTGGTTGAGAAAGTTTATGCCAGCAGTTTATTCGTGTTATTAAAATATTAAATTGTCAGGCTGTTAGTTGATGGCTGATGAAAAATCATACATTCATACAGCTGATGTCTGCGATGGCCTGGCCAGCATTCAACTTGACCTACGTTGACGCACACCAGCACAGCCTCTGATAATCTTAGGGGGCCATCATGATCAGTAGAACCAGGGTAGAAAGTTGGGGGTTGACTACCTCACAGGCATTCTTTGAGGGTGACGTCAATACGATTGGAAAGCGGTTTTCCACAATAAACTCATAATATCTTCGTAAAATCTTCGTAACATGTTCGTATAAATTAATTATTTATTGTTATTAACCCCCTATGATTAACCCCTAAAATGCGACGCGATTTTTCGATTTTCGCTGACCGATAACTTTGATCCTAGTTTGAATTTTCCGAATTTTTAGAAGCGCTATAACATTTTGAGTTATTTGGTCTACATGTCTTCCAAAATTTGCTCTCATTAATTAACTTTCAAAAACTAAAAAATTGAGTCGTGTTGTCGAATCGCGTCCGGTGTGTCTGGACATTAACCCTAACCTAACCCTAAGGGTAAAAACTTGTAAAAACCACAAAGAAAAAAAAGTTTAAAAAAAAATAATAGAGCAGGACTCGATCCGCAAGCTATCACATAGAATGCGGGCGCCTAAACCACAACACTACGGTGGATTTGCTTGAAAGTCAATTAAATTTGCACGCTTTTGTTTTTAACGAGTTTAATGATTACGGAAATGTGGGACCTATAACCACTTCCAAATACCAATGCTCACCAATGGTAAAAATACATCCCTCTGAGTGTGTGACCATTTGACTGGCAGCCGATCAGGTTTCGAAATGTACTAAATGACCGGCAGTCTAGTTCCTTTGTAATTTAGATTCTGATCGTAAATGAATGAATATAACTATTGTTTCTGTGTGTTCAATTTCAGCGATTGCTGCAATACGCCAATAGTGTTGTGGCTTGTTGTGGCTGTAGTGCTATACTGCTCTAAGGATAGCGGATCGAATCCTTGCCCATAACAATGAATAATTAATTTATACGAACATGTTATGAAGATTTTACGAAGATATTACGAGTTTATTGTGGAAAACCGCTTTCCAATTGTATTGACGTCACCCTCAAAGAACGCCCGTGAGGTAGTCAACCCCAGAAAGTTGGGTGGGTGGGGGGAGGGGGAGGGGTTGTCAAGTGCTGGAGACGGGAGACACCTAAAGGGGATCTGAGGGCATACATGTACCCCTGGGAAAGTTTTGAAATTTAGCGTCCCTGAAGTGCGATTTCCAGCTTTTTGGGAGGTAAGATTATATAGAATTCCAATGAGTATAAAGTGCATGAAACACATGGTTTTTTCATGACAAAACCTATATATAAGACATGAAAATATACATTGATGGACAGCTACATCAAACAGAGTTAAGTGCGTATTTAAGAACTGGGCTAGTATCCAGCCTTGAAAACTACATTAAGCGACATGAGAAGTTGATGAGGTTTTGAAAGCTAAATATTCCCACCACTAATTTATGAGTTCTATATTGTTGGCTAGATCTTGTTTACTGCCAACCACATGTGCTTCCCATGTTGTTTTTTCCATCATATTTGGATGAATTTAGATAATCGGTGTGGTGCTACCACTGGGAGTCACAGAGCGACGTTACTGTACCTCTGTAGTATAAGCAGTCCAAATTTAAATTAGGCCTCTAGTTAATTAATATTGATGTCACAGGGCTGCAAATTGCTGTCGGACATCGGACAATGTCCGACTAAATTTGGCAAATGTCCGAACAAAAGTAATTTTGATCGGAGATTGGTCCGATCAAAAAGATATATTGTAAAATTATACTTTTTTTGCTGTGACAAAATCCTATTGCAAATTCACTCAATTTACATTTTGCAATCAAATTTACGAGGCATTCTAGCATTTTACTTAACATTGCGCCGGAATGGCTATACTGTACATACTTGTCTCGTGACTTATATATGTCTTGTGACGTATATATGTCCGACCAAAATTAAAAGTGATCGCACAAATGTCCTGTCAAGTCAAATATTTATTTGCAGCCCTGATGTCAGGACTCTACTGAAAATCGCCCAGCAAAAAACCGCCAAAACCATGAAAAAAATATTTAAAAAAACTTTATTTCCGACCTACCTACCCTAATTGTTTCGCGATATGAAACCGGAACCACAGTATTTTTTTAGGCCTTATTCTCTTCAAAGGGTCAAAATGTTCACAAAAGCATGTGCAGGCAGTAGAGCTAGCTTAAATGAGTATGTACGCAGGAGTAATGAGTATGTAAGCAGGCGCAACAGGGTATTTTAATTTATGTTTTGTAAATTAGAATAAATATTGCTTGTAAAAACTGCCAGGAAGTGGTGTTTGTGAAATTCTACATGTAAATTTCAGAACATTTTAGTGATGCACGGATATGAAAATTTACCGATATCCCAATAACCAATATTCAAGGGCCGCTTTTGGCTGATATCAATAACTGATATAAGATTTTACTTTGAAATCCACCAATTATATGACAATTGGATTTACTGGAGAAAATTCACCATTAATTAATTAATTAACTACGGTAGAGTTGATCTCGAGATTGGCCAATTTAGCACTTATCATACTGTACTGCACATGCTAACATCTTTGAATATGACTAATTATATGTATGTTGAATATATATTGATACATTCAGGTCACTGAGTCAACTTCAAATCACATTGAAATAAAAAATTAAAAATAATATCAGCAAAAAAATATCCCAATACATTTTTGAATTTAGGGTCAAGGTATAGAGGATATTACATGGCGGCGCGAAGTATGACTTGTGTGTGTGTGTGTGTGTGTGTGTGTGTGTGTGTGTGGGGGTAGACCCACAGAAGGCTGAACTCCTACCAATTCTGCTGGTATTGCAGGACCGCAGCCAAAATTGCAATGTGTTCACAGATTTTTTCTTAATTATATCGGTATAATTATACTGAGTGATTATTTAAATTACTGGTATCTAAGCCTGTAATTACTGCCTAACAATGACAAATATCCTTGGCTACAGTAGCTCCACATATAACCCATTAAGGAGGCTCCCTACAGTTGCGTGTGGGATGTTCGCGGGACCAGTACGTGAACTATCCCATGCAACCGCATGATCAAAACAAAACAAAAATTGACCGGGCTTTTTTTTTAAAAAAAAGCTATTTCTGAAAGGTTTCTAATGGAAAAAAGCGTTGAATAATACTTCGTTTTGAGTGCCAAATCACTTGCGAGTTTATACAGGAATTCTACAAATGATACGAATATCACTAGACCAAAAAATAGCTACGAAACAATGTTTTTAATTTTTTTTAAATATACACTGTCAACTGTAAAACATTTGCAAAATTGCATATAAACGTTTAAAAAGTTGTTTACTTCTCAAGAAAACGTTCACGTTTTTAGTCCGTGTTTCTACAAGATTAAACTGATTATATGTAAACGGAAAAATATTTCAGTTTCATAGCCTAATTGTCCATTTTTAGCAAAAAGTACAAAACCAAACATGAAACAAAAAAACACGTCCACCTTTTAATAGGATGTTACAGCTCATAGATTGAGTAAACGGCAGGGTGCAATTAGCTTCAACCTTAAAGAGGTTTTGTTGTTTTCATCGATTTGATCCTTCACAATAATCCTTCGCTGTCCATGGCCCTCACATAAATCGAAAAGTTGACAAAAACAAAACAGTAAGAACAACAATGCCGCTCGATTTTGCTGAATGAAAACTCGTTCTGCGCCCGCGTACAATCTTTTACTAGTCAGCGACGCTTTTCAATAAGCCAGGAATTTCTCGAGTTAAGGAGGCTATTTTCTAACTTTATTTGCATTTTACTCATTAGTTTCATCGGTGACCTATCTTCAAATTTTGACCACGAATTTATTTTGCGGTAATTTTTATAAAATCGAGTCACTATATGAAAGGTTTACATGAAGTAGTGCATCGTGACAAACAAGCGCAGGGGTTTATGGGCTTGAGGAGCGCCTGGGACATCTTGTGCTGTTTCTTGCAAAATTCGTCTGTTTCTTGCAAATCGTGGTTTTTCGACAGTTGTGGGGCTTTTTTCGCCATTTTTTTTGGAGAAAATAACATTTCAATTGTTCAATTAAACATGTGATTACAGTCAGATGATATTTGATATCATTTGACCCTTTAAATGATTCCCAGATGTCAAAACTTGAAGAGGCCAACAAGGCTGTACAAGGGTTTATATAATAACTTTACAAGGTATGGAAAAATGACAATGCATCCTTATAATGAGGAATTTATTTTTAAAATCTACAGCTACGGGAAGTTTTTTAATTAAACAAGGAAGCGATGAAACTTTATTTTGTATTGCATTCGCAAGATTGGTCTCATGATTTCAGTTACGAGCTTATTTACATAGTAGTATGTTTGATTTTCACGATGCAAACGATCGACAATATTTTGAATAATTCAGTTAAGGATAGCTTTATTTCTTTCTGGTGACATACATGAAGGCATGTATATTTAGATCTGCTGTTTACTTGTTTTATGAAATTATGTTCGACAGCTATTATACAAGATCGGCCAGGCGCTAACCAGAACGCTCGTATCCCATTCCCCTTTGCGCACCTATAATGTGACACACTGCTTCGCATGCACTGTTAATTTGAAGGTGTTAAAATAACACCAAAAATGGTGTCAAATAAAAAGGTACAAAATAACACCTTTTTGGGTGCTATTTTAACACCACTTTGTAGGGTGTCAAATTAGCACCTGCAAAGGTGTTAAAATAACTCCATTTTTAGTGTCATAATAGCACCCTTTTCGGTGTTGTTTTAGCACTCTAACCTTAGTGTTAAAATAACACTCAATTTTAGTGTTATTTTAGCATTACCGAGTATTAAAAATGTATATCCCTTCTATCCAACACACAAAACAATTAATAAAATAATCTGTTGAAAAATTTATTTACATTATACTTTACAGCATTACTTATCTATGTCATATATGAAGTTTATAGTAAATTCAGAGTTATTGCACCTAAGGTTTACACTATATAGAAACGTTCACAGAAATAGACCATGATTGTGACGCCATAACTCTCCTCGTACTACACTCTAGTCATTAAAGATAAGGACAATACCGTAAACTTCCAACTATAAGCCCTGGGCTTACATTCTTTCGTAAGCGATTTTTGATGGGCGTATACATGGACAATCTTTTGTGTTAGTTTAATAGCAATAAACAAGTATAGTAATAGTGATAAACAAGTGTTAAACAAGCATAGTAATAATAATGATAAATAGTTGTAATAGTGATAAACAAGTGGGCTTATTTATATTTGGGTGGGCTTATATTCAGGGGGGGGGCTTATGTTTGGAATGAGGTGAGCGTTAGTACATGTGGTGGGCTTATACGTGGGGGGGGGACTTATACATGGGGGGCTTATATTTGGAGATTTACGGTATATCCTGCATGTACAATACATGCATTACATTAATGATCAATATAATATCATTATCATAAATTGTGCATTATCATAAACTGCAGGTTGTTGGCTATATTGCACAATTTGAATTTTTCACAAACATTCCCTCTGCAATCAATGAAATCAAACTTATCTCTTCCAGAGGTCCAGTACCAATAGACAAGGGGTTGAGATCCTGATAAAAGGGTTTGAGCATCCTCTACACAAAAAGATTTAAACATAGAATAAATTTATGTACAGTATACATACACATATATATAGATTAAGTTCTTTCAATTAAGTATCTTAATCTATGTTAATTGTTTAATCCATGTCCATAATATAAACACACAGATACTAAACAATTGTTTCTTCAAAACCTGTAATCACTGTAATCAATCATACAGCAAAGTAGACTATTCACTAGCTACAGTTGCAAACAGTAGATTGTTTAACTACCTGAAAAATAAGAATTTCTTTGAATGATTTTCTTATTTTTCAATCAGTAATTAAACAACCTACTTTTGAAAATACTTCTCACAATTACATACTTTGATTCAGTTGGATCATTTCAATACAGTTTATATCCGTCACAATCCAAATGAACGTTTATGTTACCGGTGAAGATAATTTGTAACCAATAGAATCTTTGCTGAATGGTACTCTAACCCATTAAGTGGGAGCCCTCTCCCCTTGACAAGTAAAGTCGTCTGGTGTTAGACAAAGTAGAATAATAAAGTAGGGTGCAATTTATGTGGCATAGTTGACATGAAGGGGGTAACTAGGCACATGGGCAGATATGACAGTTAACCCATTACCACCAGCTCTCTCCCCTTGATAAGTAAAATCATCTGGGATCAGACAGAGTTAAATAGTCTGGCATTAAATAAATAAAATAATAAAGTAGGGCATATCAGGGCATAATGCAACTCAATTTGTAATTTTCTGTGATGAGTCGGCTAGATACTGTAATTCATTGTCAATTAATAATTTAACGTCAATTATTGATCATTTATTGGCATTAATTGTCAAATTGCCACAAGATAACAGAGATAAGTTCACATAAAACCCACCCACTTATAATGTCGATTCGATGTTGTTGTGGCAACATGAATATGGACGTGGCCCCTTAAACAGTTTCTTTATGCATAAAATTGTGAGCCTGGAAATTCTCAGAAACATATAAACAATAGTATGAGGGACTCAGACATGTATCCTCAATATATTCAGGGAATTTAGGAACATTCTACCTGGGTTGTCTGGATATTAAATAGAAATACAGCTATTTACTATGATAGTACAATATAGATAACACAAAGGAAGGATTGTTCTGCTCTTAGGCCCCGTTTACATGAAACCAGGACGAAGTCAAACTGGAAGGAAAATTTAAATTGTCAACATGTTTACATGAGATCAGTACAAAAATCACAAAATTTTCAATTTATTCCCCTTGTTAGGCAATTTTCTTGTTCAGATGGCTTTTGTTAGCATATGTTGTTCCAATGTCAAGGTTACAGCCAAGACCGGTCTGAAATGTATTTGTGTTTACATTCATGCCAGTCTGAATTCATGCCAGTCTAAAGTCAATCGGCTTGATCCAGCCGGCAGAATGACTTGAGACTGGTCTGTCGAGTTATTTTCATCCTGGTCGCTTGTGAACATCTATTATAGATCATACTATGAGCAAAACAAAATGGTCCCGGTTTGACTTTGTTGTGGTCTCATGTAAACAGGGCCTAATACAAAGCCATAGAACTTGCTTTGGAGATTATACTGGCCTCTGTAGCTCAGTTGGTTAGAGCGCTGCACCGGAATCGCAGGGCCGTAGGTTCAATTCCTACCAGAGGACCTTGTGCTGCATTTTTCGCAGTCATTCCTGGTTAGGTCTTAAAATGTATATATTCTCACTTGGATTACAAACCCTTACATTCTAAATTAATTCCACCAAGTGAAGTGCAAGAAACCATTATTGAAGTCCACCTTATCACAACCCGCACACCCGATTACCTAAATATACATGAACTTACGGTTAAAGCTTAACAGCTGGCCTCTGTAGCTCAGTTGGTTAGAGCGCTGCACCGGAATCGCAGGGCCGTAGGTTCAATTCCTACCAGAGGACCTTGTGCTGCATTTTTCGCAGTCGTTCCTGGTTAGGTCTTAAAATGTATATATTCTCACTTGGATTACACACCCTTACATTCTAAATCAATATTAATAGCCATTGAGTCAACATTGATATCCTCTCAATAGATCAATACATTAACAAATATAAATGTTTATATTGTTAACTTTAATGTATTGATCACTATTGAAAGGGTATCAATATTAACTCATTTAGCTAATATTTATCTAATCGCCAAAGCAAGTTCCATGGCTTTGTATGAGCGAACAATCCTTTTTTTGTGGGCCCTTGTAAATATAATTGTATATTTCATACCTTCTTGTAGCCTGTATATATCATGATTTCGACAGTTCGACTTGCTTAGAACACATACTATGACAGTATTTATTGCTTGAAATTATAACCTGTCAATACAAAGCAATATCACTAAGTTTTAATGTATTTTAATAACAATATATTGTTGAACCAAATACAAAATACAATGCGGCCGACGGCAATGGCGGTTAAAATATACATGAATATATTACTATTTATGGCACATATTTACACACGAAACTTAAAAATATTGACATAGTTGAGCACTTACATTTACAATTATTGTCTGAATCTTCAAACAATGGAGAATTTCTTCTTATTTTCTACTATAATTTAAGAAATCTTGGCTTTATCAACCGACATTAAATTAAAATTTCCAAGCGACGCGCTAGAAATGTGCTCGCTAAGCCCTCTGGGAGGCCCTTCTGAAGGCACTGATCTCAATCATGTGAGCAATCCAGTGCAAATAAACCTGCATTTCTAAGTTTTTTTGACAGAGACTCTTAACTTTAAAATTCTAGCTGTCTTGTTATATCTCCCTTGCATGAACATATTTTGTCATCATCACACAATTTCTTTTCACTGCATATTTTTACTGCCGGTTTATCACTGCACACTTTCCTGACATCACTAACACCAAAATGACAGATTGCTTCGATTATTTTTTATTAGTTTTTCAATGAGGCCCTACAAAGATTACATTATTAAGCGATAATATGTAAAAATATGATCCTTTGCCCCATTTACTTGTCTGAAAAACGTAAACCGCTCCTACGTGGTCCGCCACTTTGAATCTGAAAACCGGTTCACGAGGTGCTATTTTGACACCCTAAGTTTAACTCTCAAAACGGTGCTACTTTAACACTTTCACTCAATAGAATGGGTGTTATTTTAACACCCTAAAAAAGAGTTAAATATCTATGGTGCTAATTTAGCACTTCAAAATCAATTCCCAACTTCATGGTGTTAATTCAGCACCCAAATTGGTGTTAGATTAACACTTTTTATTTAACACCACCACAAGGTGTCATTTTAACACCTACGAAGGTGCTATTTTAACACCTTCAAATTAACAGTGTGTAAACCTTTTATATAGTGACTCGTATGTGAAATAATTTTATAGCACCTTGGGACAAGGCAGGGTCGGACATATGTATGATGATGTCGGATGACCTTCAGGTCAGTTTGGCTCGGAAATAAGTCTGAATGACACAAATTAATATCAGCACAATGTATTAATTCTGAACTAAATGTTGTGAAAATATTAAATAATTTGTGTCATTCATACTTATTTCCAACCCAGGATTAACTTGCTTGCCGATAATAGCAGTACGACTTCGACAACTTAAGCCCATTTTCCATTTCACCATTTTGCACGCTGCCCCTTTGCTCAATGACATTACTAAAAACAGCATTTCCGGTTCATTTTTATACAATACTCTGGTTCTCGATTTATAACATACAAGCCTCTAGTCCTGGACTAGGGTACATTTTGATTTACATGTTTGGAGAAAGCGTTGGACAAAGCTAGAGTTCGGTCGGACACCGATACACTAGGGTTGGACAAGGAATAGACCTCATTTTCACTTAGGTTGGACAGAACATCCGGTTGTTTCCTTTGTCCGTCGGACAATTTGACGAATGGGTCAGCCAATGTCTGTGACCGACTGATATTTTAAGGCCTGCAGTAAAGAAGAACTTCAAGCGGTTTCAAGGGAAGACCCATCTTGAAACAATGAAGTTCTCCTTGTATTTTTAAGGATTTGCGAAGCAAAATCCTTTATGTCATCGGGTGTGTAAGATAGATAGATAAATAGATAGTAACACATTAGTGACGTTGAGTTCCGAGTCGAGTATTCGGGAACCGCCGCCGGAAGCTATTATCCGCCATTTGTGTTTGTCGATATTCGCAATCTTTCGGGCAAAAACCCCGCTTATTTTCGTAGAATACACCAACGGCTAAACATTGTACCACTTACTTTTAGCTAAACGAATGAATATATGACTGTTTTGTGCTAGAAATACAAATGGAAAAGGTCCTAAAAGACAAATTCGTTTAACTCAGGAGCGGCCGTCGGGCCGTGTATAAAAATAAAATCAAAAGCGGTGTTTCAACTATGAAAACTGTATTGTTCCATTTTTCATTCGTATTCATTGGAAATGAATTAGAAATGTATTACCTGTTGCGGAATGTGGAAACTTCGAAATAATTTAATTTGTTGTTTTTTATCTAAACGTTAAATTATAAAATATCTTCAACATTTCTACAAATTTAGTTTTTCTTTTATCTTTGAGGCAGTGATAAAGCCATTTAAAAGTTGTAGTAGATTAACTTTAAATATAACAGTAATTAAACAAAAGTTGGCATGCGAAGAAAAGATTTGTCATGCATGATGTTGTGTTTTGTTATACTACATTTTGGGCGATATTTTTCGATCGTTCTTGCATTATGAACTCATGTCTCATGATATTTTTCAATCTTTCTTGCATTATAAAATTGACAACAAAATTGCAAATCCTTACGCACTTCCTTGAGTGCCTATTTTTTCAGATGCAGTAGTTGTATTCAGATCAATCCCCAGCTTTCTATTATTGGCACTACCTTTTCTGGCACAGATTGCTCCCTAATGCATATTACTTTATTAGCACTCCTCTCTTTATTAGCACTTGTTAAACGCCCTGTCCAAAAGAACTGCTGAACACGATTTTGTGAGGGACTTTCATGGCTTCCTGGGAAGTGAATGTTACATGATATTTGCACCATATGCACACAGTGAATAGAACCTGCTGTCGTTTGGATATACTGGACCTTTGAATAAAATAACAACTTGAACAAGAAGACCAATATTTCCATGAACAATAAGGTCATGGAAATAGTTTAAATGATTTCACAATTTTGGATGAACAGGTTATCTAAAAAGATATGTTTCTGTAATAGTATTGCCCGTTGCTTTTTAGCATAGTGTGTTGTATATTGATAATTATTTCATTATATTGGTTACTTCATATTGCATTTTTAAAACTATCATGCAATATGCCGAAAATATTGAAACTATTTTAATTGGTATTATGCTATTGACATGCCCAACTATATTAACCCAGTAAGTTGCATTAAATGCCAAGCTGCCCTAGTTTACTATTTCACTCTATCTAATGCCAGACAATTTTACTTGTTAAGGGCGATAGTGTTGTCGTTCAATGGGTTAAATGTACCTAAATGCATGGCAGGGTGAATTGATACTAGTTTCGTTCATAAAGCTACTTCTTTGATGATATGATATCAGCTGTAAATTGTACCAAATGCATTTGTAAATATTGAAGCAACATGAAGTGTTGAATATTGAAGCAACATGAAATGTTGAAGGAACATGAACTGTTGTTACTGCGTCCACGTACAGTAGTGCCCAATCTCTTGGCCATAAATTAGTTTTAATTGAAATATTCCGGTAAAAGATATATATTACATAGGTATTTTTGTTTCGTGATTGTTTTTCTAAACAATTGTAGTAGTCACAGGAAGAAAATTATATGCCAGAAAAAATTGAGTTAAAGTTGCAAAACAAAATTATTTTTAATTGATTGTGCAGCAAGCTTAAACTACTCACGGCTTAGAAGATTGGAGTGCAGAATGTATACATTATTAAAAGACTAGTGTTTATATTTTAGATTCCAAGAGATTGTCCTTGATGGTGTAAAAAATAGTGGAGAATGACTATTCAAATAATGATGTAGAAATGCAGTCAAGATCTCGAAGTTCAAAAGGTTATATAAACGGTAAGTGAAACGTACAGTACATTAGTATACTTTGATAAATTTATTGGCAGCGTTCTTGCCTTTTTAGCTGTGAAATTATATGATGTTGATCAGGGTTAAATGACAATCTAAGGTGAATTATCGAGGGTAGTACACTCTGACCTGATGGGTTAAAATGATATTACAGTTAATATAATTTTAGTCGATTCTGATCAACGTGACAACGTGAAAATTTATATTTTCTGAGTTCTAATTTTGCAATGAACCCTTGATTCTTGAACAGAAGAGAAAGATGAAATAAAACTTATTCACAGTTTTCACAGGTTTGAATTCGAAATTAATATAAAAAAATTACTCTTAAAATTGATCACAGAGGCGGGTACGGCTGTACATACTCGCTTGAAAACAATAATACAATTAATGTTTATGCAATGTTCCTTTCAGATTGCTCATCGCGGCTTGGACCGCGCTAGGTACCAAGCCTTTCTAACGCGTCGTCTCTCGCCGCATCGTGAATCGTAAACTCTCTAGTACCGCTTGCGTTACGCACTCGTGGTACTGTATTATAAATATCTCGCCAAACACGCGTGTCATTTTTCATTAATACTTCTCGGACCATGTAGTGCTACTAGACTCGTACTTCCTAAAATGGTACAATATTATTTAATGTGTTATATTCAAATACATATGACAGGAATACTACTATGTTGTAACTTGTAAACATTTCTACAAAATTTTCTTTTAGAGACTCCTTCGCTGTACACATGCGAAATAAGAAGTTTGCCTACACATGTATTTCTCCCTGTGGCTTTTAAAGAGAACAATGACAGCAATTCAAGTCAGGTTTGAACTAAATTGAGGTACAAATCTTTGCTTCTCTTCTGACGTTCACTTGGCAATGTTCAAAGTATTGTGTCCGTTTGTCGATAGTTTGCAGATTTTTGCTGCAAGCATATCTTAACGCCTGCTTTTCTCGCTCTTTTTGTTCTAATCGTTGCTGGATGTTTTTTGTTGTTGTTTTTGTTTGTTTTGTCGTTTCTCCTATGCTTGTCTCTCTTATATAATTTATATTGAGTAACGACCTACAGTACATATAGTTTTATAACATTGCTTATTTTGACAGTCTTTAATGGTACCTACTGTACAACTGCAATCATATTAATGTGCCAAAGGTGCTTGAAATATAGTTTTCCCATGTTTTCATCAGATGACATACAGTGTATTCCACGGTTTATTATGTCCGTCCAAATGGAAGTAGTGAAAAAGGAATATTTTTTAAAATATTTTACCAGTTTAACAAGTTTCGAGAACATAGGTTAATATCGATATGATATCTAATGAATGCACTTTACATGTGTACGTTAGGTAGAATATCACCCTCCAATACTAAATGCGGAATCAAACACTTAGAAAATGTGTTTGAAAAAGATCATACGTGTAATAAAAAATGTATCGTCAACTTTCCACAAACAAATAAATGTGAACACAAGGAAAATCAACAAAATTTTAATACATATCCAACTAATGAGATGTTTCATGATTTCATCAAACTATGAAAATATCATATTCGTGCAAAAGCAAACTTCACATACAGTAGCAATTACAGCTCTACAATATCCTGGTAAACACTTGCGAGGGTGCATCTAACATGTAGCGATCAAAATTAAATTTTTCAAATTTATCTCCATGCAATTTTATAACTGGTATGTTTTTAGAGTTTAAAACACACCATACGAGCTAGCAAATTATTGCTTTTTAAAAGTTTTATTTCGTTTGATTTCCTGAGTATTAATTTGGTAAGGAAGGCTTTGAACAAATAATGAAATCTCAAATGCACGATACATTTATTTTATATCAGAATTAATTGATACAATTGCATTCGCCTTAAAAAATTGAATACTCGAAACCATACTCTTGGACACAGCATAGTCTTTCAAAACATGGTTTGGAAACTCCCCCAAAGTCTTTGTTCTATCTTTTTGTTCGCGTTTATGCAGTTTTGTGCACGGTGCTCGGTCAATGAACACATTGTATTTCAGTATAATGAACGAATATCCAATAGCAACGTTTCAGTTCAGTCATTCCACCATGCTATTTAAGTATTAATCAACCTAAAACAAAGGATGTGTAAGGTACGCCTCAACATAAAATCCCAGGCTCATTAAAACCACTTTGAAGTTTACTGAGTTTCCAGACCATGTCTCGAAAGACTATGGACACAGTTTTGAAAGCATAACTCGTCACTATGTCTATCCTTCTACAACTTCTTTCATTTTCCTGCTTTCCTCAGATATTGACGCCCAGATTGCAGTTAACAAGGAGGCAGTAAATGTATCCAATATACCTCTTAACCTATAGTTCCTTGCTGACTGTACGACATTCTTGCACAAATGCAGCTTACCAAAACCGTATTGGACGAATCGACGTCTATGACTTTTGGTCTCACTTGATTTAACTCGGAATGAGGTCTTTTTTCTGTGTTGATGCTTGGTCTGTGAAGACATGCATCGTTTTTGAAGCTCATATGTTTTATGTCCTGACCATGACATTGTAGAATTTTACCTCTGAATACTTCCCAAACGGGCGTATTAAATGATAATCAAGTACGATTGCGTCGTGCACATTTGATAACAAGTGTTCATTAACATTCAGCCACGTATTCATTCAAGAAACTCGTTGCTAATAATATGAAACTTAAGAATGTATCGAGAGACATACTGCAGTAGGGCGATTCTCCGTGTGTCACGTGTGTGACATTCACACAACCATTGTGTTGTTGTTGTTGTTGTTGTTGTTGTTGTTGTTGTTGTTGTTGTTGTTGTTGTTGTTGTTGTTGTTGTTGTTGTTGTTGTTGTTGTTGTTGTTGTTGTTGTTGTTGTTGTTGTTGTTGTTGTTGTTGTTGTTGTTGTTGTTGTTGTTCAGGGCTTTAGCAATATTATAAGATATTTATGGAGTCTTGCATGGGTCAACTTTGTTCACTTCTCTTCTTTCAGATACCGAGGCAAATGTGGCATGTCACGTGTGTGGCTCACAATTTTATCTTTTTTGTTAAGTTCTCTAAACAAGTTCAAAAGTTTGTGAACTTGGAAATGACAAAATAATGAAAAATACATGAAATATTGCAGCAATTGACACTCTATTAAGATCATATACAAATTTCTGTGAAAACCAATGGCGATTAGATACCGGTACTAGGATTATTTCCAAGCCAAAATTAACTTGCTTTCCGAACAGCAATATTAAAAAAGACTTCGACAACTCAAGCCCGTTTTCCACTTCACCATTTCATTCGCCGCCCCGCACTCGACTATGTTAAAACAACATTTCCAGTTCACCTTTATACAATAGTACTCTGATTTTCCATTTAACATACAAGCCTCTAGTTCTGGACTGGGGTACATTTCGATTTACGTTGGACAAAGCTACAGTTCGGTCGGACACCAATACACTCCGGTCGGACAAACATTAAACCTCAGTTTCACTTAGGTCGGACAGAATGTCCAGGGGTTTCCTCTCTACGGCGGACAATGTCCGAATTTCACGAATGGGTCGGACAAAATTTCACGAATGGGTCGGACAATGTCCGTGACCGACCGATATTTTACGGCCTGATCTTGTGATCTTTGAATATACACTGGGCATATTGCATGCTACGGATTCCATCTGCTGCTGGAGCATCCCCCCAAGACTCTGCCAATGCCACAGCCTCGTTAATTTCTTCCTGACTGATATGTAGAACTGTTGTGGAAGATATCAGTTCACTTGCTAGGTCTGCGAGATCTTCCGAACTTTGGACGGCATAATTCGCATCTTTGTTCATTGATTTCTGACGAACTAATGACTTCGCTCGATGACAAATTCCATCAAATACGCCCTTGCCACGAGAAGTAGCAAAGTATTTCCATGAAAAGTCCTTCTGAAACAACTGAGCCAGGTCATACAAAATTTTCAAGCAGAACTTATTTTTAAATTCTGATGAAGGGCCATCACCGAAGATTATGTCACCAGCATCATCAGATGTGGGAACATACTTTACAATGTGTTATTAAAACCGGTTGATAAATGTATGTATTGTATCTTTTCCTTTATCGTTTTTATTGGAGCATATCAAATATGTCTTTGTAGTCTCCTGGTACAACACAGTTGCTGTAAAAAGGGTTACACTAGCACGGCTCTAAAGTGCTGACTGGTTTCGTCCTGATATTCGCAAGAGTATGCCATGGCGAAATCGATCTGCAGGATACGGTTGGCTTCCATAAGGCTTTCAAATGCATTACTTTGAATCCGCTTTACACGGGTGTGCTCCTGGGAGTGACTGCAAGACAAGATCGAGTAGTTCTGCAACCACTTTTTGTTAGCTTCTTCAGCACCTGATATTTATCAGTCTCCTAGTGATGACATTCAGTTGCTTTGGCCATGTCGATCTCTCCAAACAACTTAGCTTCAAGAAAGTTTCCTCCTTTACAGGTTTCATATGTTCCAGTCAAGCATTTTGAAGGTCTCTTGTGTTGCAAATAATTTATTGCCAGCAGTCCTTATCATGTACGATACCGCTATCACGAACTTTTAATTTCATTCGAAAGTTTTCATGTGTTTTACACTTGCATTGGTCTTGCGGTGTGTTCTTATATAAAAATACTGTACATTGACGGGTCGAAGGCGACAAAATGTTGAAAAGCCAAAGACTGACTGCAGGGTGTATTTCTTCAAACACTGAAAGTGCTTCTCACAGAAACATTGTAAGATAATGTTTTCGAAGGCGTTCCTTTTTTTCCATTTGTCCAGACTTTCATTTCATCCTCGAGTCCTGGCATAGTGTATGGATACATGGGAGCGGAAATAGAAGGCACGGACTGTATTTTGTACTTCTTCAAGACCAGTGTTTCCACTTGTTTGTTGACAGTGATGCTTGCATCTCTTTTTCCAAATCTACACCAAGACGTTTCACAAGGCCACTGACAACAGCTTGTCCCTTTCTAGGTGAATGTGGCAAAGATCGAATTGGCCTTTTGGTAGCTTTGCCAAGTGACTGCAGTCTCTTGAATGGCTGATAGTTTGATGAACTGCCTGCATTTTCCATTTCTTTCTGTTTTTTTGAACATTCGGCTTTTTTTTCCGTTGGCAGGCTGCCATCTTATATTTGTTAAGTTCAGTTGGTGACATTTTTGGCAATTCTGTTCTTTCTTATTTTTTTCTACTCTGGCACTCTCTACTTTCTTGAAATAACTGCCTTTTTCTCATGCCATCTCTTGTTTTGCTCAGACCCAGATAGCTTTTTTTTCTTGCTCGTACTATAATAAAGTTAGGTGGTAGTTTACCCTAATTTTATGTATCACTTAAAAGCCCTTTTTAGGGAGTGGTACTTATTGAAGTTTATGAAATTTATGAAATTGCCCAAAACAGAATTTTTGCTCTAGTTTCATAACATTTTAATCAATTATCATTAAATTTGGCACAAAGTTAGATCTACGAGAAGGCCAAACGGATGTGTTAACTGTATGGAGTACATGTTGAAAATGAAATAATATATTTTGATCGTCACTATTTATATCATGCACCCAATTAGTCTATACAATTCAGAAAAAAACAACTACTTCCAAAAAAAAAACTACTTCCAAGTCAAAAGGTGCGCATTTGGCACGAATAAGGAAAGGTTGTCTTTGTGTGGTGGAAAGTTCGTGAACACCTGCTAAATGGTTAGATAATTTCAACAAATTTTTCTTACCACAAATCGGACAGTCTTTACGCTTTCGAGGCATGATGTAGAAGGAAGACCTTACCTGACTCCCGTCTCTTATATAAATGTCCCGCACGGGACTTTTTTTGTCCCAGAAGTCCCGGAAACGCTCAAGTGTCCCTGCGGGACTGTTTGTCCCGTGCGGGACTTATTTTGTCCCTGAAACTCTGTATGAGAGAGTTTGCCCGAGAGAAATACACAACATGTTTTGAAAAATATATATTGACTATTTACAAACTAAATATCTAAAGGAATTGTTGACACACCGTCCTCCAAAACTTTACGTTTTGGATAAAAATAACTAAAAGCGTTTTTAACTTGAACATATGTACACATAGCACTTTCCACTTCGTAGGTGTCATCGTCGATCACGTTCATTTGCCGGTAGAATGGTGAGTTGATTAATTCGGAGACCTCATCATCGTTGCAGTAATTCACCTTGCGATGACGCTCTTTGTTGGTGATGGTCTTCCCGTATGAGCTGTTACAACAAAGAAATACAAAAAATGAGAATTTCTTGAATACGTCACGACAGCGTGATTTTAAAACTCACCTATTCCCGACCAATTTCATCATGTCCGCGATGATGGCTTTGGAGGGGTCTGCATCACCAGCACGACGAGCATCTGATACAGCATTGCCAAGAGGTTTGAAGCATGGCTTAGGGGTATACTCGACTATCTGGTAGACGTGTGTTACCTAAAACGATAATACAGTTTGTTAAACATTTTCTCCTGCAATTTTACAAGTTTTTAATATTTAAAACGTACCTCTAAACCATGTTCTAAATACCATTTTAGAAGAGGAGTTGCCAACATTATCTTCTTTCCGATCATACTTCCAATGAGACTCCGCCGAGGTCGGGGCATGATGTTGTTTTCTTCGGCATAGCTCTTCATGAACTCACCGATGTCTTCTCGACGTATTTCAGTATTCTTGAAGATGGGGCACATCTCTTTGAAGTATTCTCGCAAACTCTCAGGTACGTGGATATCACACTCCACACATCCAAATAGTTTATCATTCTTCACTGCGTTGATAATGGACTGTTTGGTCATGGTTTTCACTTTATCCAGTGGTCGGCGCAGATGGGTGGCGATGAATCGTTGCAGAGCGCTGTTTCGTTTCTTCATATCTCGCCATGGCCACTCACATTCCCAACATTCAACGAGATTGAATCCCTGCTTCGTGATATAGGCACTGTTTCTTTTTGTCTCTTCAAGGAGTTCTTTCATGGGCTTATCACGCTTCTCGTTGACTTCTTTACCTTCGTTAAGTTGGCAGTTGTGGCCATGCCAATAACATCCTAGTAGAATAAAGTATACTATTAAACCTACAAAAGAAAAATAAATTATCCTGCAAGCCCACGCAATCGCTAAAAACTCATTAGCTCACTCCCACACAATTAACTTAATTCTAGCTAATTAATCTTAACTAATTTCAACTTACCATGAAACTGAAAAACCGTTTGTGATTCAGCGTGAAAACCGTCAACAGGGAGACGACGAGTGCCACGCTCGCAATACTCATACTGTTCCTCGGTGATATCGGTTCCGGATAGAGTGGAATGGAAGGTTTCGCGTGGTGGTAGGGTTGGGTTGTTCAACTTTCCAAGGGAATCAACCCACTCGTAAGGGAAGTAGCCTTTTGTCTGGGAGCACTCGTACGCTTTGAGGAACTGTTCGTAACTGAAACCGGGGGCCAAGTAGTTTGTGATATCGAGAAACTTTAAGTGTTGCGTCTTATGACACATATGATTGTTGTTTCTCTTTATCACAAACTTAACTTGCTCGTGTTTCACTAGGTAAGAGAAGAATGGGTTCTTAGCAGCATTTATATCGTACTTGCCCGAGTTGAAGCCGATCACAGGAAGTTCCATCAAGTAAAGTTCCAACTTCTGCTTCGTCCTCATTCACTTCGTCCCCAACCACTTCGCCATCACTCACTTCCCTCTCCTAAAAATATACAGCATAATAAGTACGAATATTATAAACATCTAATAGACCAAATATATAGTTTACCTCGTTATCCAACCCCATCGGACATTCTACCAGCTGCTCCTCTGAATTTGGCTAAAATAGAAGAAACATGGTATAAGTTCAACAGTATAAGAAATAAGGATTTCACCATTTACCTCCTCGTTTTCACTCGCCTAAAGATATAAGAAAAAATATTAAGGATATGAAATATACTAATACGTGTGAATTATACCTGATTAACTCGTTCCTCAATTTGACGAAACACATCCGCAAACAGATCCAACAACAAGACATAACTTTCTTGACTAATTTTTACCAAATATTCCACGAACTGTTGGATCATTTCACTTGTACTGCCAGACGAGACGAAGCATTTGGGTTGATCATAACCAGGGACGTTCGAACATACAGAGACACTCAAGGGGATATGTTCAGCTTCCCACGTCAACTTTGCTGTATTTCGTGGATGTTCGGTTTCACGTTTGAAATAACATTCAAAGTCAAAGGTAGCGCGATAAGGGAAGTACTTGAGGTCTTCAGGGATCTCGATACCTTCATCGGCCAACAAGTCGAAGATAGATTGTGGAACTTTATAGACTCCGCCAGGAAAATGTGACGAACTGTCGCCTCGCAGGTTCGCTCGTGTCGGTTTAAGGCTTTCGCTGTTTTCCACATCTTGTCACACTTGGAACAACAGTAAGACTTGGAATACATCGCCAAGTTCTTAATGTAGCTGAAGTGACTACCGTAGAGGTTCAGATACATCGAATTGGCATATCTACGATGGGAGCGCTGTATGAGTTGAGCCACAAAGGAGGTCGTGGCGTCATCTTCGTCATGTAACTCTGTAAGGCGATAGACGTAAATGTTCAACTCGAATAACTTTTCCAACTCTGGGAGCTCTTCGAGTGTCACACCGTCAAAATCGTCACTATCGTCATATTGTTCATAAAAATGCTGAGTATCACGTTCTAAATTTTTGGAATGACATCCACGGTGTAGGGCCAAACAACGAAAGAAGCATAGTTTGTCTTCGTATGGCAAGCCAGTGTTTTTATCACAGTCAAGCGACACAATGGCAGGATTATCCAATACGTATTTGGGTAGTCGGACACTTTGACCTATGGGATGGTCTCGAAGTTTGGTGACGTAGAACGTAGCGTTGGTGAAATCCATGACAATCCATTTCGAGTTGGGACGTTGTTGTCGAGCCCATTCATGAATGTCGATGTTTTCCAACGCTGTACGCACTTGAACCAAATCCTTGCGGTTATTAATCTGGAATGGGGAGTCGAAGACACGGTTGTTGTTAGCTGAGGGGTGGTGATATTGCATCTGCTCCGTTTCGTTGTTAAACAAAACAAAGCCAAAGGATAGATTCAATTTAAAGACGGTCGATTGATCTTCAAATATACGGTCTATATCGTCCACAAGTTGACCCATATTCAACAGCTCAAACGATAATTATACCAGTCTTCACTCGATTGCCTCGGCTTTGTCGCGTACGTAAGCACGCCAATGCTCTCGGTGGAGTTGGGAAGGAAGGTTAGATAAGGGTAATAGGGGATCTTGAGGGAACGGTTGGGGTCCTATAGAAATAACACCCGATTCTTTATTTTTGTCTAGAGCTCCGCACTAATTTTGTCATACAAACACCCGATTCATAAAAAATCAACATAAGTCTAACATGAATAAATTAGGACATGCAAATTTCACATAGCAACATAATCAACCCACGCAACAAAAATTTCTTTTACCTCACTATAAAACGCTAGCGAATGTTATAAAAATGATGCAGCGTAAATGCTCTTACAATGATATAAATTAATAGTTCTAAAGCAAATGAACATAAGTCTAACACGAATAATTAGGAACATTCCACACTATAAACCTACGCTTAAAAATTACCCGATTATGTTTATCGGGTTTTCAAAACACAAACATTAGTGAAACAACATGAAAACAGCATGAAAATATTTTTCAAATGTAAACGTTAGGATTTCAGGCAATATTTTAAAACCGAGGTTGCGAGTAATTAACATTGTCAATATACACATCAAATCACCACAATCAATATACTACATACGGTATAAACATATGAATTTCATACATTCGCTAACGACTATAGACGTGGAAGCACCTGAAAAAGGAAAAAAAAATGTATTAGTGTGATTTAACTCAAATTATTACACAGCATATATACTCTCTTACCTTCGTTCACCGATGTCGAAGGTCTTGGCGGTTCTTAAAAGAAAAAAAAAAATATCTGCATAAATACAAGGTTAGTAATCGAAATATTTTGATTTATACACACTTGGTTCATCAGTTCTTTGCCTTTTTGTTCGCCCGGTCGGCGTCTTCGTACGTTTCCCACGACCAACCTGATGGACTTCGCGCTGATGGGCTTGGAATGGGAATATGTTTCGAAACACTTCACCACATTCATCACAAGTATATTCCCGTTCCGCGCCACGTCGCTCGTGCATTTCCATGTGTCTTGTGAGGTTATCCTTGAAAAATAAATAAACACACTATAGTTCAAAATATATATATCTCAACATAGCTCTCAACATAACTCTTTTTACCTTTCGATCAAATTTCTTGTGACATTTCGAACACTCGTATTCTTTCTCGCTGTGAGTTTTCATGTGGCGGTTCAGATTATCCTTAAAGGAATACGAAGTATAATATTAGGGAACAGCGTATATCTACACGTATTACACAACGTCTATACATATAATTGCTACGGTTTATATACTAATACAAATCTCTACATACCATTTGGTCAAATTTCTTGTCACAACGCGAACACTCGTATTCATTCTCGCTGTGAGTTTTCAAGTGACGTTTCAGATTATCCTTAAAAAGAATATGGAGTATAATATTAGCGAACAGCGTATATTTTCACGTATTACACAATGTCTATACATATACTTGTTATAGTTTATATATCAATACAAACTCTACATACCATTCGGTCAAATTTCTTGTGGCAACGCGAACACTCGTATTCTTTCTCGCTGTGAGTTTTCTTGTGCCGTTTCAGATTACCTGCCCGTTTAAACGTCTTACCACATTCATCACAACATAACCCCGACTTCTCCGATTCTTCTTGCCAGTCGTCCCATTCAGCCAGAATCTGCTCTTGCGTCTCTGGCGACCAGCACTCGAACATTTCGTCTGTTGTAATGGCACAAAGTTGACGATTGACCTCATCATTCTCGAGATCGGCCATGAATTGATCTCTTCTGAAAATACACACAAAAAATACTTCTAGGTTTGCCTCAAATACTTAGCTGTAAATAAGCAAAGTCACCTTACCGCATGTTTTCCCGATGTTGCTGTGCCATGTTTTCCCTCAAAAAACTTTATCTTCCAACAACCAATAAACGTTAATTCTACCAACAAGATGAAATTCAGCAGCTTGCCAAAAGACCTCCAGTAAGAGCGTTGTCAAAATATAGACGATGCTTGTTACAAGACGCTTGTCGATTTTATACAGACGCTCGTTAAATCAAACAACCAATCATAGTAAGCCAATCCTAATCCCTCCATTGTATCATAAACGTGGGGGACGCTAAAAAAATGCGTAGTCAGCAAGTTTCACACGTCCTTGTTTAAACCATATGGTTTAAACCTGCCCGCGTGACGTCATTGCATATAATTATGACGTATGTTAATGAGTGACGTCATTACTCCTCCTCATTCCTCCTCACTCCTCCTCCTCATTTCTCCTCACTCCTCCTCCTCACTCCTCCTCACTCCTCCTCCTCACTCCTCCTCACTCCTCCTCACTCCTCCTCACTCCTCCTCCTCATTTCTCCTCACTCCTCCTCCTCACTCCTCCTCCTCACTCCTCCTCCTCATTGGTTGTTGTTGTTGTTGTTGTTGT